TTTTTTTAATGTCAGAAATGTTTGTAAGTTTGGAATTGCTTACTAATCTCACTTTAGCCACTTGACCTCTCTATAGCAGTTTTACGTGATTTTGCACTTCTGCCATAGGGGGCGCACGTACACCTCCGGCTGCTCACTTCCGCTGTTACACACAGCGGAAGCTGATCTGTGAGTCCTGGCAAATGGATGTTCGCCGGCACCCGTTAATCCTCGGACAGGAGAAAGAACAGAGCTCTGTCTATGTAAACAAGGCAGAGCTGTGTTCTGATAGGTGGTGAAGTGAATGATTGATTGTTTGTCCCTGCAGAGCTGGGATCCTTTGCTTAATATAGTAACAGCTCCACCTAGTGTACACCAAGCACATAGCTAGGCACACATTTAACCCTTTGCTCTAGATGTTAACCCCTACCCAACTAGTGTCATTTGTACATGTTCACTGTATTAGTGTCACTGATTCCCAAAAAGTGTCAGTGTAAAAATGTCCGCCGCAATATCGTATTCCCACTATAAGTCATTGCTCGCCGCCATTACTAGTATAAAAAAAAATAAAACTAATCAATATACAGTTATTGGAATTTTTTTTTTTACCAAAAATAATGTAGCAGAATACATTTTAGCCTAAATTTATAAAGAATTTTGATTTTTAAAAATTTTTTTATTGGATATGTTTTATAGTAGAAAAAAAAAAAGTGCGTTTTTTTCAAAGTTGTAGGTCTTTTTTTGTTTATATGCAAAAATAAAAACCACAGAGGTGATCAAATACTACTGAAAGGTCTACACCCTGTTCCAAATATGTAAATAACAGTCAGCATAATTCTCATGTTATCAACTATTAAGAGTACAATTCAAATTTTATTGAACAAACCTAATGATAACAGTATTTTTTTTAAACATAAACTTACAATGCACTGTTCCAAATTATTACGCACAGTAAGTTTCAAAACACTTTATAGGTTGTAAAGAACTGAAAATTGTCATTTGTTGTGTTTGCAGCATATTTACTGAAATCAAAAGCTATTTCAATCAAACTTTTAACAACATTTTAACTTTTTAAACATTTTAACAGGTCACGTTACATTTTAACATAGGACCCCTTATTTGATAGCAGCTTCACAAGTCTTGCATCCATTGAACTTGTGAGTTTTTGGACAGTTTCTGCTTGAATTTGTTTCCAAGATGTCAGAATAGCCTCCCAGAGCTGCTGTTTGGATGTAAACTGCCTCCCACCCTCATAGATCTTTTGCTTGAGGATGCTCCAAAGGTTCTCAATACGATTGAGGTCAGGGGAGGATGGAGGCGACACCATGACTTTCTCTCCTTTTATCCCCATAGCAGCCATTGATGCAGAGGTATTCTTTGCAGCATGAGATGGTGCATTTTCATGCATGAAGATGATTTTATTACGGAAAGCATAGTTCTTCCTTCTGTACCAGGGAAGAAAGTGGTCAGTCATAAACTCTACATACTTAGCAGAGGTCATCTTTACACCTTCGGGGACCCTAAAGGGGCCGACCAGCTCTGTTCCCATGATTCCGGCCCAAAACATGACTCCACCACCGCCTTGCTGACGTTGCAGCCTTGTTGGAGCAGGGTGGCCATTCACCAACCATCCACTACTCCATCTGGACCATCCAGGGTTGCACGGCACTCATCAGTGAACAGGACTGTTTGAAAATTAGTCTTCATGTATTTTTCTGCCCAATGCAGCCGTTTCTGCTTGTGAGCATTGGTTATTGGTGGCCGAATAGAAGGTTTATGCACAGTTGCAAGACTCTGGAGGACTCTACACCTTGATGTCCGTGGGACTCCAGAGGCACCAGCAGTTTCAAATATCTATTTGCTGCTATGTAATGGTATTTTAGCAGCTGCTTTCTTGATCCGATGCATGGATCTGGCAGAAATCTTCCTCAATCTGCCTTTATCTGCACGAACCCGTCTGTGATCTGAATCAGCCACAAATCTCTTAATAGTGCAATGATCACGCTTAAGTTTTCGTGAAATATCGAATGTTTTCATACCTCGTCCAAGGCATTGATATTTCACTCTTTTTGACAGCAAAGAGATCCTTTTTCTTCCCATATTGCTTGAAAATGCTGCTCTGCTTAATAATGTTGAACACCCTCCTTTAGTAGTTTTTCCTTAAATTGGGCTCACCTGCCAATCACAGGTGTCCGAGATTGTTGTCAGTTTCAGTGATCAAAAGATACCATCCCCTGAGACACAATACCATATTTAATCTTTGTGACACTTAAATAGAATTAATAATTTGGAACAGGGTGTATTTGTGGGGAGAAAAAAGGCATCGATTTCATTTATGTACTTGACCACTCAATTGTCAGTTAACATAATGCAGTGCTGTAAAAAATGGCTTGGTTGGGGGGGGTAAATCTTTTGGAGGGCAAGTAGTTAACAGATGAAAATAAACAGGTGAGATTGGAAAATATTCATTTTTCATTTAGTTGCATAATAATTCTGCACACTATTAGTTGCCCAATAATTCTGGACAAATATATAATTCTAAAAAAGCCAAAACCTCACTTTTACTTTCTTAAAGTGGAAGTAAACTCCCTTATAATAAAACATGCACCGTTTAGGAGATATTCAGTGTCCCTGAAGCTGATGACCTTAACGGTGCATGTGCTCTGAATGAACGGCATACCCATGCTGTTCCTTTCACTGCACTGTGCTGTGGCCACGATTCTCACACACATGCATGGGAGTTACGTCATCGCGGCTTGGCCAATCCGTGCAAAACCCGGAAGGAAGACCAGGTGAAGATAGAAGCTCTGTCATTGGAGACAACGCGCTGCTAGAGGGCTTCATTCTAAGGCAAGTATTTCATAATGTGCTAGTATGCGATGCATACTAGAACATTATGACATTATTTTGCTGGGGACATTTGTTTTGGGTGGTTTACTACCGCTTTAAATATTCAGGTTTGAGGTTTATTAACATTTTGGATTGACCGAGAGCACTGTAGTTCATTAATGAAATTAATCCTCAAAAATACAACTTGCCTGATAATTGTGCACACAGTATAGAATCTGATTGTACAATCTCTTTTGGATCTACTATCATCTATGTATTGCAAGGGCCTGCTAGATTGAATACAGATTTATTGGATAGATTAGGTGTGTTGCTAGTTCTCCATAGAGGTGCAAACACCAGTTAGAGCAGCATCACTCCAAATTGTAGCCCCAACGCTAGTCCTCCTCAGAAATGTGTATTGCAATTGGAGCAGCATCGCTCAAAATTGTAGCATCAGTTCTGAGAGATGCTCATGTCGGTTAGAACAGCATCATGCTAAACTGCAATAAGAAGATTAGAGCACCCGTTTACCCTCAGAAAAAGGTGTGCAACAGTCAGACCAGCATTGCGCCACAGTGCAATAGGAAGTTTAGAGTCGAAGAGCCGTGTGACATTTTAAAAGCAATGTGTCAAATATTAAACAGAAAACTTGCACCAGAGAAATAAAAATAAATCAAAATAAATGCTGCTGTTCAAAAACATTACTAAATATCAAATAAAACTCATAAAGTGACAGCGCAAAATAAAAGGATGTAAGAAAATTAGAATAAGTCCAAAAAAGCAAAGTCCCAAATTAAAGGCCAGTGTCCCAAAAGTTTGTGACAAAAAAGTAACTATAACACAAACTTCATAAATTTTCCAGCGTGCTCACACCATCAGTGATAAATCATTTGCTCCACACTCAGCAAGTACTGTGGATTCTCAAACTGATATAGCTTTGAGAAACAAAAAACAGGCTTAGAGGTGGAGTGTAGTTTCCTCAGATGTTATTTCACCCTTTAATAATTATTTACTGAATCTCCTTCCAGGGTGATCTCACATAGGGTGCAATCAGTCCAAAACCAGTTTCCAACTGTCAGTTTTGTAGTACAGAGCTTTTGTCTGCATATAACTGTCCTCACACAGAGCTGGAAGAAGAAACCATAGAGCCCTTCTCACCTCCTGATGGCCCCTCAGCTTCAGGCACTCTATTCCTGGACCTCCGAGAACAGAGAAGATGACACCGGTAGCTCACAGTTGTTTGCAGCCCCAGAATTCTCACACTGATGGTGTGAGCTCGCTGGAAAATGAGTTTGTGTTTATAGTTATTTTTTTTTGTCACAAACCTTTGGGACACTGGACTTTAATTTGAGACTTTGCTTTTTTTGGACGTATTCTAATTTTCTTACATCCGTTTATTTGCGCTGTGTCACTTTGAGTTTTATTTAATGTGTCAAATATAATTGGAAGCTTAATGCACCAGTTCCCCTCAGAAGAGACGTGACCGTTAAAAAGCAATACGCCAAATACAATAGCTTAATGCGCCAGTTCCCCTCAGTAGAGACGTGCGACAATTTGAACTACATTTGCGATAAGAGCGTGATAAGAGTAGAGCACCAGTTTTACTAAGAAGTGTGAGCAAAGAGAAAAGTGTTGCGCCAAAATCAAGTACCTGGTCCAGACAGGTACATGAATTTGGTGCATTCTGTGCCACTTTCTCACCACCTCCGGGACACATTCGTTATTCTGTCTGCCAGCCTTTATGAATTCCAGGGTATGTGTCTTGTAGGTAAGTGTCAGTGCTGAAAATGTGTAAGAAATGTACTCGTGTTCAGTATTTTGTTGCAAATTCATGAGATGATGAAATTTTGATTATGATATTCCTGTGGCTGGAAAAAAAAAATCTTCACAAGTTGAGAATTGTGTCCTCTTTATGCTTGTCATTGTAATGTCATTGCTAATTTATATTGTGCTTAACAAGTGATTCAGTTTGTAAGTTCCTATGTCTGCTCCTTTTATTTCAGCTGAATTCCCCGTTTCTCAGAATAAAGTTGCTTTATTTAGAACCTGCCGGTTTCTAAGGAGAAAGTTCTAGTGTGAAGGGCTATATTTATTGCTGATCAGCTGTATGTCTTCTTAATAATAGTAGCAGGTTGGAAAACCAGTCCGAACTTCAGTTTCCAAGTCTTATTTGTTTCTAGGAATAATTGGGCATGTCGCTGGAAAAGATTATTAGAGATACCCTATCAAGCTTCATACAGTCCCATATTCCAGATGCTGATCTCAGGTATTTTCAGTATGAATGATATCTTTTTGATGCTAATGTTTACTTTTTCCTCAAACCAGTCTCTACTATAGAATGTATGTAAGCTGTTATTTGGACTCTCAGGAAAATGCTAGTTCTCTGGATGTATTGCTTTCTGTGTCACTGGTTAAGAATCAGTATGCAAATCAAAGGTTCAGACTTCACTCTGCTGAAGACTCGTTCCAGGTTATTGACCCAAAATGTATTGAAGCCAGGCACATCAGTAAACTAGGATTTCTGGAGAGGGATCAGTAATATTAACTACTGTATTCCTCTTATCACAAATTCTGCATATAGCAGAGCTTGCTTACACAGGCACATTATTGTTATTCAAGAAGGCTATTAGTAGTGCAAGATAACTGTAACCCTACCATAAATACAGGCTGCACTCCAGGTAAGAGCAATGGTTTAAAGGCACTTTGCACTCTGACGGGGAATGTTGAAGGAGAGCAGACATGAGATTTGCACTTGTAGTTAAAGTGTATCTATGGTCAAAATTTTAAATTACAATATTTCTGTACTGAATTTCAGGTATTTTTGGCCTACTCCTATTAGTCTGAATGATCTTGAAGTTTGAAAACTTACTGTGTGAAGGGCCCCATGCAGTTACTTCTTGAATCCAATGACACACATATTCTCAATGTCCTGTATAGATGCACTGCTGTGTCATACATTTCACAGAGCCTGCCTTCTGAGCTACAAAGGTGCTGAGTTTCAGGAGGCCCTGTCCGTACAGCAGCACTGACATGTACGTAATGCAAAAGGTGAAGACATTATTTTATAGGAAAAAAATGGCAATTGTTTACTGTATAGTGCTTTAGTAAAATAAATATCCAGTTAGTTTATATATACTTTTTAATAGTAATCGGTACAGAACTTTTTTTTTATTAAACCACTACATTTTTATACAGCTTATGTATCATATGCACATTGTATTCCCTTCTTTATTTAGAGGTAAATATAATGGTCAAATTCTTATAACTATATTCTCAAAGTGTTACTAAACCCACAACAGTAAAATCAATCTGTATGTGCAGTAAAGCATGCTTACTCACTGTGGAACCTAAGGGGTTAATCCTCTGCATTGTGTAAAAAGGATGTCTGATCCTGTTTTCTATAATCCTCTCCTCCTTCTACTGTCCCCAGTCAGTCTTCTGATAGAACAGAGCCTTGGGGGAGCAAGCTGCACATGCTTAGTTTGGTGTGTATTGTTAAGAGTTTTTTTTTTTTTTCTTTGGAGAGTGCATGTGATCAAGGCCAATCAGCACTGTTCAGACAGAGGGTCAGGGATCCTGCAGCCTCATAGGACAAAAGGGAAGAATGAAATATCCTACAAGTTTTAACCAGTTCTCTGCCGGACACTGATAGAAGTCACAAGACTGCTCTAACTGCTGATGAGAAGGAGTATTTAGCCGTTTATATTTACTAAAATAATTGCATTGCCATGTTCTGTGTACTGTGGGAGACCAGATATAGTGAATGCAGGGTTCTGGGTTTATTAACACTTTAAAGATCTAAAAGGTGTAAATTTAACCATTTTGGTTTCAATAGTTTTTACTATCAATACAGAGTTATGATTTTGACCGTATCTTTTCCCCTTAGTCTAGGTAAGTACAACTGTGCAATATGAATTAAATAACAGCTAAGATTTGTCATTTATCTTGTTTAAAAGGGATCTGTCAGAGAGTTAAGGTGGTTCTAAAGCATTCACTGCATTAAGGCAAAAAAACTTTTTTTGTTATAGTTTTCTGTCACCCCCCCCTCCCTGTGTGAGGAAGAAGAGAGGTGAGGAGATATCCAGCGCTTTGAAGGGCTGCATCTCTTAACCCCTCTCTTCTCTTCACACAGGGACTCGAGTAGCAGGCACTGGCTCCTGCTGCTGTCAACCAAATGTAGTAAGGAGGAAGCAGGGTAAGGGGTTAAGGCCTGATGTGTGTGTGTGTGTGTGTGTGTGTGTGTGTGTGTCTGGCTCCTTGGACACTCAGCTCAGGAGCAAGCACGCACTGTGTGCCCCCATAACAAGCGGCTTGCTATGGGAGCACACCAAAAGAGGCAGAGCCAAGATCGACAGAGGGGGACCCCAGAAAAGAAGGTTTTGGACTGCTCTGTGCAATACAATTGCACAGAGCAGGTGAGTATATTATGTTTATTATTTTGATGAGAAAAAAATAAAATTTTTAAAATTTCTGTCTCAAAAGCCTCAGAAGCAGCCATATTCAGCACAACCATGTCACATTTTTTTCAGTCGGAAGGAGGCAGCCGGTTCTGGGGATCAGTTAATGTCTCTGTGCAGAATGTAAATGAATTTTCTTATCTTTACAGTGCCATGGATGAAGTGTTCTTCTCATATGTTACCGGAGTGTTAGAAGAGCTGGGATCTCAAGAGTCCACAGAAGAGGATTTTGATATGGAAACATTTATAGAAATGTTGGAGGGCTACATTCCTGGTTTTGCAGAAATCGGAAGGTATGTATACAAAGCAGCACTTTCCATGTCTCTTACCCTGTATCTAAAGAAAAAGAAAAAACATTTTTTGGGGGGTTGTTGTTGCTAAGGGCTAGAGGCTCTCAGGTTTTGTTGTCTGTGCCCCCAGTGTTGGGCATGTGTCCTGGGGCCCCCTAGAAGGGAATAGGAAAATCTTGTATTTGTTCCGGTGGCAATTGTCTTAAGAGGGGCTTTCCTTTTTTGCCCCTGTTTATGGAATAGAAAAGGAAGTTAATTCTCCACAATGTGACACAGATGGAACAAAAATCCTGCAAGGGGTTGTAATCCTCCCAGCTCTTTCCAAAAATATAAGAAGGCCTCTTGTCATGCAAACACTAAGTGCCAAGGAGCTGCTTTCAGAGCTGTCGTTGATGCCATTGATCTGTACTGTTCTTTTATTCTGTACTGTGCCCCTTGTGACATTTTGCACCATGACTGTGGAAGATTACATTTATTACATAAAGTAAGGGTGTCACATTCTCAATTTTTAAACAATATTTTGTGTTATTTCCCATGAAAAATGTTTATATGCCTAATCTGCTAGAAAGGACATGTCTTGTATTTTGTTTTCCAGTTCATTGTTTACTTGCAGTTTTTCATATTTAGCCTGAAATATTTTGCAGGCGTTTTCTTCCAGTCAATTTGATGAGTTTTAGAATGTTCAGTTTCATTCCCTGCTGACCATTAATTAATTCAGTCAACCAACTAGTCTCCCTTGATATTGCTCTGTTGCCTGTGGCATGCTCCTTGGGAGTTTATTCTAGCTGCTTGATTGTGCTCTCTTATGTTTCGTTTAATAAATATAAACACATTTTTGACAGTAGCTAGTCTGTTTTATGGAGAACCAAACCAAAAGCTCATCCTCTAAAAGCCCTAAAAATTACACTGATTTCTTTTAAACAAGAGATATGCATTTTAAATCCAATACAAATGTAAAAACATGGCTGGTATTCCTATTCTGAGGATAGTAAGCAGAATCATACACACCTTTGCTTTATACCCAGAACATCCAGAAATACTAATACATAGCAAAGATGCAACCTCAAATGTTATGAACTCACACTTGCATACAGTCGTGTCAGACTATGGCACCCCCTTGCAAGGAATGGAACACACTATACTATGATGTGGAATCTGGATAGATAGTTAATATATGGTCACAGGGTGGGATAGTGGGCAGAGCCATGCTAATCAGCAAAGATGCCCTTGTAATCCAGATGGGTAGGGAAATCTTATTCCAACAGAACTTTATCTGACAGCTTTTGGTAGACCAAAGACTATGCAATAAGTGATTAACGAGGAACTTCACTAACTATATATTTATTTATTTTAACCACTCTTTTTTGCTACTGAATTAAAGTAGTATTAAACCCAAAACCAAAAATGTCTTATATTGCAGCTTACTATTCATTACATGTGATGGCTGCATCAGTTTTCTTTTCTTTGGATTTTTCTCTGTGTTTTCACCTGGTGATCTGTCCAGTAGCACACCTCCGGTATTAGTGAGATATCACTTTGGAGAAATGAGCACACGACACAGCAGACAGCAGCAATTCTAGTCTGGATGGGAGTGTTAAATGTATTAGCAGATTTAAATAGAAAAACAAATTTAAGCCGAACTTTGGCTAACACTTTATAATTCGTTACCGCAAACCGTTTTTCCTTTTGGGATAAAGGTTTTACATGAATAAATAAAAGCTGATCATTGAATCACCCCTGCCAATAGTAAATGGATTATCTCATCCATGTAAACTGATACATTCTGCTGGAGAGCTTGAACTTCTGAAAAACAGTTGCTTGCTGAATCACCAGATGTAAAAAAGAACAAAGACAGCCTAAAAAAGTAAACAAATACAGACATCACATCTAAGAATTGGTAAGCTGCAGTATAATAAATGTTAGATTTGTGGTTTAACACTGCTTTAACATATTCACACACCCTGCAAATTCAGAGTTGTCCTGCTCTAATCTGCTTCTCAGTCTGTCAGCGCATGCTGGTTCCCAGGCCGATTTCTTTGCTGACATCGTTGACAGCTGGCTATCTCTTCTGGGTTCTTGAAGACCGTGATGTCCTGGCCCATGCTCACCATGTTTAACCCCATCACCTCCTGGCCCTTTAAGAGGTTCTAAATGCCAAGAGGTGGAGGTGGGCATTCCGATCATATGACTGCTGCGAGTGGCACAGCGGTCAGATGATTGGAAAGCTCCCGAACGCAAGTATACATCGAGAGCACTCTGTAACTCGCCAGTTACTGTGCTGGGAAAGTGTTTATGAAGGGACACATATGTAGCCAATTGGCATTAAATCCCACCAGCCAAGAGATCGCATATAGGCGTACGGCCAGTGGGATGTGGTTAAAATGACCCTGAAACCACCAGTAATGCTTGCTGTGAGTAGTCCAGGAGGCTGCGAGGAGCAAAGAATGCATTGTTCTTGATTATATGAGAATTCTTGCGGTGAGGGGCCAGTAAATCAAATAAGGAGTACTTACAAAACAGTCAAGTCTTCATGTGTATCATTTTGTCAGGCCTTTCCATATTGATACAAGGTTAGCTTTTTAATCAGCTTGTATTTAATGTACTGATTGTGTTCTTATTTATTAAATTGCACCCTGGAAATGCTTGTGTGCTTGACTTACTGTACTTTTGAGTTATGCACTGGAGCAGTCAAAATACAGTCCTTTTCCTTATATTTGTGCCATGTTAGTAACTCCAAGTATTTAGACCAAAGCATCAATATGACAGATGGGGATCTAGAAATGTCGGAAGCAGAGGCTAGCGATGGCACACCATATATTTATCTGATTACCTCTGTTTGTTCGAGTAAACTGGCAATCATGTAATGATATCTTGTTACCTTTGCAGCGATAAAGTTTATGAAATGATGTTTGAACTGTCTGGACGACTAAGTGAAGCACGTAATAAAGGTACGTGGGAATGTTTTAATTATCTGCAAATTAAACAATTTATATGTAAAGGACAGGTTTTAGATCTATAGTGTAATCTTTTTATTTGTTTCAAAGGTGCATAATATTTACCATCTTTCTTGTTTTTTTTGTTTGTTTTTTTTAAATGTGGTGTTTTAGCATCAGCATAAAGTTTTCCCATTTATAACAGCACTGCATGTTAATGAAGAAATGTGAACATCACATTTGCCTTCAAGATTTTCATAACAATTAATATACTAATACTATTGGTGAAAAAAAAGGAGGGGGAAGTGCGCCGATGTGGTGCAATAAAAACTTACATTTTGTTGAATAGTTAAAAACAGCAGAAAAATCATACTCACGGGAGGCACTTTGTCATAGACAACATTTCTCGGGGAAGAGAGAGGGAGAAGGACAGACAGCAGACACTGGGGCCAGCAATGCTGTTAGATGGTAGCTCGATCCCTCTACCTCTAGCACAGTTTGGCTGTCAGATTAGGTGGAAAAAGATGGCGCACACTCACTTCTGCAGAATGTTCCACGCTGGACTCTCCTTTGCCAGTCAGAGCCCACATATGTCCTCTTCTTCAAACAGACAAGTGTACTGATCGTCTGGGCAATGCATTTCTAGGGTGGGTCCCCCTTTCGCAAGCCTGGTCAGTATTTATTGCACAAAATCTGTGTGCTTCCCCTTTTTTTTTTTTTTTTTTTCTTTTTATTTCTCAGGTTTTGCATTTCACCTTGTGGGAGAGCTGCAGTTGTTTTTAAGATGAAAAACAAATTTTACTATACGGAATATGGGACTGTGCTTTTTGGAACAAGAACTAAATTGGCAAGCTTAGTATGCAATGGAGAACAAAATGGCTTTTTAAAATTAGTTCACGTTGACATACTGTTTCCCAAAAGTGTCCCTGTGGGTGTCTTTAATACATTAAAATGCTGGTGCTCTGTTTCCTACCTGCACATGGGCAGTCCACTCTCTCTTGCAACTGAGCGTTCTGTGAGCGTGAGTGAGAGCAGACTGCATATGCGAGAGTAGGGAACAAAGCCAGGAGTGTTCAATTTATAAGTTGATGGGGCCCCGCCTCCAACGCTGGGTACATCCTGCTATCTGCAGGATTGGTGAGGGGAGCACAATATAATTAGCAGCAGCTGAAAAGCATTTATTTGCAGATCAGAGCCCAAAATTTTATTGTTTAGAAGTACACTTTAATGGAAAGGAACATTTTTAGGAAAAGTATGTGAAGGTCAAATAATCCTTTTTAACCACTCGCCTACCGGGCACTTATGCCCCTTTTGTGTGCAGGCCAGCTTTCAGCGCTGTCACACTTTGAATGACAATTGCGCGGTCATGCAACATTGTACCCATATGACATTTTTATACATTTTTCTCGCAAATAGATTTTTTTGGTGGTATTTAATCGTCGCTTAATGTTTTCTTTTTTGCACTATAAACAAAAAAAAGAAAAAAAAAAAAGTTTTTCTTTGCTTCTATTATAAAATTTTGCAAACAGATAATTTTTCTTCTTCACTGATGTGCATTGATGAGGCAGCACTGATGGGCACGGATAGGCAGCACTGATGGGCACTGATGAGCTGGCACTGATATGCAGCAATGATGGGCACTGATGATCAGTGCTGATGTGTTCTCTGACAATTGCCGGTTATCTGCAGTTCTTTAATCATACTGTGACAGCGCGAGGAAAGTGCAGCCAATAACAGGCAACTGTATTTACCCGGTGATCTGCTGTGTCATCGGACACAGCTGATCACGTGGTCAAAGGCCACGTGATCAGCTGGGTCCGTAGGACACAGCGATCACAGAGATCGCCAGGTGTGCGCATTCCGGGAGGACATCATATGACGTACTCCCAGAACTGGACAACCGCGCTGTAGCTATCATGCGGCTATAGCGCGGTTGCCAAGTGGTTAAAGAACTATAGGCAAAACCTTTTTTTTCATTCATAGAGTAAGGGCCAGTTCACAGTACATGCGTTTCATGTGCTTTTTTTTCTGCATCCAAAATGCACAGAAAGTAGGTTATATGGTTGTCAATGTCATAGTCTCCTAGATTGTAAGCTCCAAGGAGTAGGGCCTTCGAACCCCTCGTGCATTGCATTGTATTGTTATTGTACTGTCTCATGTATTGTCTCCCATTGTAATGTACAGCGCTGAGCGAACCATTGGCACTTTATAAATACTGTATAATAATACTGTATAATAATAATAGTTCACATCATTGCTTACAGTTCCAGTGTGTTCCGGATGCAGAATAAAAAGTAGAACACGCTGCATTTGTCCTGTACAGAACTGTACTGGAACACCGTAAAACTCATCAAAATCGCACATGTCCCTATTTAAATGGAAGAAAAAGAGAGGGGCAAAAATGCACAGTTGAAATACATATACTGTAAGTGAGCTGTTTTCACTGCCAAATGATTAAATTTGTTTTCAGCCAGGATCAGGACTCCACTATATCCTGGTTCAGGTCTTCAGCTTCCTGGTTCTCCTGTCTGCTCACTGGACAAAGTCCAGTACAATGCTGGCATGTAGTAGGGGAAATCAGGTTAGTTTGAAATGTGCTGGCAGTTTCAGACCTAGTGAATTTGTAAATCAAATAAAACTGGAAAGGAAGAAATTTTATGTGACCATAACACAGATTGTTTATAATTTATTTTCAGAAAATTATTTTCCTAAACCATCATCAGAGACTTCAGATATGGTTCCAGAATCTGATGGCAGTGAACCCAATCAGAATAAATTACAAGTGCCACCGGAAGGAGCAGAGGCACAGGTACTTTGAGTATTATTTATAAATCAAGATTTTTGCTGCATTAATAGATACTCACAAGGAAAGTGCTCTGCTGACCACCAGTGTTTTTTGTTTCACTACATTCATCTTTCCACTTGTAAAGTTAGGGGGACACTTGGAAGGATAATAGCTTGCCTTGGCCGGTTTTTATTTGCATCATTCAGGTTTTGCATTCTAAAATTCGATTTTAGAATGAATGGACTTTCCCAAAAGAAAACCACATTCGCTGTTAGAAATACATTTGTTTGAGAGAAATTTTGCATCCCGCTCATTCAAATGTTCTCATCACTGTGGTAGAAAACTAACTTTGATCAGACCTCAATAACAATTAGAAAATTGAGAGAATGTTCTTAAGGTGAGAAGTTTCAAACAAAACTCTGCTAGTGTATGGCCAACTTTAGACTGAAAAGGAGAGTGGGAAAATCATGCCTAAAGAAGAACTCTGGTATAGGCATAAAAATCACCCATTAGTTCACCCTTCCTACAGAAAACACTAAACATTTAACAAAAATTTGAAAATCCTTACCATTTAGGAGAAAGGTTTTTGATTTTTCATGACCTCATCTTTGAAATTCAAAAGATAACAGCATCTGCTCTGCCAAGGGGGAGGTGTGACTGCAGGCATTATATCATTCCCTCTACACTCTTTCTGCAGTAAAAGGCAACTACAGTTTCCATTAACCACAGGCAGTTTTAGTAAATGTGGGCGGTACATTAGGCCTGTACATCTTGAATGTGTCTGAGAGTCTCGGTCCCACCACTGCAAGTGGGGCTGAATTACATCACTGCTTCCTGGAGAAAGAACTACAGAAGGGATGGGCCAAGGCCAGTGGCTTGAGGAATAGAATGCATAGCAGCCACTGGTCTTAAATACTTGAAATAAAAGTGAATTAACAGTTTGATCTGAAAATGAATAGAGCACCTACTGAGTGAACCAGAATATGAATGACATATTCAGTGAAGTTAGGAAATCAGCAAGAATATGTAAATAGGTTTTTGCCCTGAGTTCTGCTTTAGGTACTAGTAGAGTGTATTTGTAACTAGAAGTGGAACAAACCACTAAGCTCACCTAATAGGATTGAAGTCAGAAGTCTCCATGGAGTGTCTGTGGTTCCTTTCAGAATGCATACATTATACCAAAAGGATAGTTTATATAAATCCAATGTCGCAGGCTTGCCCCATTTTCTCAAAGATTAGTAACAAGTGAAATTTTGGCTTGGCTAATAAGAGATACCGGTTTTTACTTGAAAAGTACATTTTCAGTGCCCACAGAAAACTGAAGTAAATAGTTTTTCCACTTTTATTTTGTTGTACAGGAAAAAAGTGAATTGAAGAAAAATGTTGATGTACTGCTAGAAATGTTCCCATGCTGCAGTTTTTACCAAGCTGAGAAAGTTCTCTCTATGGCTAAAGAGAATCTGGAAGATGCAGTTCAGATCATAGTTGACAGCAAGGGGCAATTTGACTATGCATCTGAGCCACAGGTTAGTCCCACCAACTATGAACATGCGACAGACTGTTTTATACCTGCTTTTAGACATGTGCAGAAAGGAAAAATTTGTTTCTGATAAATTTGTTATTAATTTCGTTTTGTGGATTCATTTCAGAATTTGTTTAGTTTTGTTTATTCATTTTCTGATGAATTCCAAATTTTCAGAAGAATTTGAATCAGTTGAAAATGTATCGAATTCTGCATGAAGAAGAGCTGGTTGTTCAGGAGCAGGCCGGTAAGCCGGCCTCCGCCTTCGTAACAACCATTGACTCAGCTCACTGGTCCCCCCTCCTTTTTTTGATCTGCCGGGCTGCATGCTCAGATATAGGGCTTGGTGTGGATTTTGGGGGGAGCCCACACCATGTTTTCTTGGAGTGGGGTTTCCCTTAAAATCCATATCAAACCAGAAGGGTCTGGTATGGGGGGGGGGGGGGGGGGGGGTGTTGTACCCACTCCTCAACAACCAGCTATTGTTCTCACAGAATTTGGATCGGTTGATACATTTTTGATCAACATGAATTTGAATTGTTCTGAAGGGCAGCACAGTGGCACTTCCGCCTGGCAGCACTAGGGTCGATGGTTTGAATTCAAACCACGGCTCTGACTGCCGGGAGTTTGCATGTTCTCCCTGTGCTTGCGTGGGTTTCCTCCGGGTACTCCAGATTCCTCCCACACTCCAAAGACATGCTGGTAGGTTAATTGGCTCTTGTCTAAAATTGTCCCTAGTATGTGTATGTATGGATGTAAGTTAGACCTTAAACTGTACACTCCTTGAGGGTTAGGGACTGATGGGCTTTATAACAAAAGGCATGGAGTACAATTACAATACAAATTAATACAGGAGGATTCAGATGGCCCTACTCGTTAGAGCTTACAATCTAAGAGGGAGGGTCGAGAGATACAAAAGGTAATAACTGTGGGGGATGGGCTGATGGACAAAATACATGTACACTTGTTAGGCGGTGGCAAGATAGGCCTCTCTGAAGAGATGAGTTTTCAAGGATCATCTAAAAGTGGACAGAGATGGAGATAGTCGGACACATTGGGGAAGGGATTTTCAGAGGATAGGAGCATGGAGAAATCCTGGAGGTGAGCCTGGGAGGAGGTGACTAGGGAGCTAGAGAGCAGGAGGGGGTCTTGGGAGGAACTAAGAGAATGATTTGGTCAGTATTATGAGACCAGGTTAGTAATGTAACTAGGGGCTGAGTTGTGGATAGCTTTATAAGTTGTTGGTATCTTGAATTTTTTTCATTGCGTGAGTGGGATCCAGTTTAGGGACTGGCAAAGAGGGGTAGCAGACACTGAACGGTTCATTAGGTGGATGAGTCTGGCAGCAGCATTCATGATGGATTGGAGGGGGGATAGCCTATGCAAAGGTAAGCCAGTGAGGAGGGAGTTGCAGTAGTCAAGGCTGGAGATGACCAGGGAGTGAGTTAGAAGCTTTGTGGTGTCACTGGTTAGGAAAGGGCATATCTTGGAGATGTTGCGGTGGCAAGCTTTGGACAGCGATTGGATGTGGGGCCGAAAGGATAGTTCAGAGTCCAGTATTACACCTAACACCCTGGCATGTGGGGACAGGTTGATGGTTGAGCCGTTGATTTTGATAGAGAAGTCAGTGGAAGGGGAGGAAATATTATGAGCTCAGTTTTGGATAGATTAATTTTCAGGAAGTGATGTGACATCCAGGCTGATATGTCTGTTAGTAGATTAGTGATGCATGTGGAGACTGAAGGAGTGAGCTGAGGGGTAGAGGGATAGATTTGTGTGTCATCAGCACAGCAATGGTATTGAAAACCATGGGAGGCAATCAACTGACCCAACGTGGAGGTTTAGATTGAGAATAGGAGGTGTCCCAGAACAGAACCTTGGAGAGAAAGGAAGAGGAAGTAGAATTGTAAGTAACACTGAAGGTGCGGTGGGATAGGTAGGATGAGAACCAATGAAGAGCACAGTCACGGAGACCAAAGGAGTAGAGTTTTTTGAGGAGGAGAGTGTGTCAAAGGCAGAAGAGAGGTCCAGGAGTAGGAGTACAGTATCGTGTCTATTGGTTTTAGCCTTTAGTAGATTGTTTGTAAGTTTTTCAGGAGAGCAGTTTCCATGGAGTGCTGAGAGCGAAATTCAGACTTCAAGACAAGATGGCTATTCTCAGTGAAGTGGTTGCTCAGCTGGTTGTAGACCAGGCATTCAAGGAGTTTGAAGGAAAAGAGGAGTATGGAAATGGGTTGTAGGTTAAGATTGGTGAGGGTTTTTTAAGTATGGGGGTGACTAGTGCATGGTTTAGAGAATTGGGGAAGATGCCAGAAGAGAGGGAGGTATTGAAGGTGTGAGTTAGAGACTGTAGGATAGAGACCGAGGGTGACTGTAGCATTTGTGATGGAACAAGGTCCAGGGGGCACGTGGTTAGGCAGGAATTAGAAAAAAGTTTAGCAACCATGTCTATAGTAGTGGGGTTGAATGCCGGAAGTAATGATTGTCCCTGTGGATGTGGAGTGTTAAGTAGGGGAGGTATCTGCGCGTCAGATATCTCCTCACGAATTGTATCAGTTTTCCTTTTTGAAGTGATTGGCGATCTTCTGGGCAGTGAGTGAGCTAGTGAGTGGAGGCAGTGGAGGATGAAGAAGAGAGTTGAAGGTAGAGAACAGTTTAAGTGGATTGAGTTGTCTGCTTGGCAGTGTGGAGGCAGGAATAGTACAGGTGAAACTCGAAAAATTAGAATATTGTGCTAAAGTTCATTTATTTCAGTAATGCAACTTAAAAGGTGAAAACTAATATATGAGATACTCATTACATGCAAAGCAAGATAGTTCAAGCCGTGATTTGTCATAATTGTGATGATTACGGCTTACAGCTCATGAAAACCTCAAATCCACAATCTCAGAAAATTAGAATATTACATGCAATCAATAAAACATGGATTGTACATAGAACAATATCGGACCTCTGAAAATTATAAGCATGCATATGTACTGAGTACTTGGTGTGGGCCTCTTTTGCAGCAATTACTTCCTCAGTGCAGCGTGGCATGGAAGCTATCAGCCTGTGGTACTGCTGAGGTGTTCTGGAAGACCAGGGTGCTTCAATAGCTGCCTTCAGCTCTTCTGCATTGTTCGGTCTCTCATCTTTCTCTTGGCAATGCCCCATAGATTCTCTATGGGGTTCAGGTCAGGCGAGTTTGCTTGCCAATAAAGCACAGTAATCCCACCGTCATTGAACCAGGTTTTGGTGCTTTTGGCAGTGTGGGCAGATGCCAAGTCCTGCTGGAAAATGAAGTCAGCATCCCCATAAAGCTCGTCTGCAGAAGGAAGCATGAAGTGCTCCAAAATCTCCTGGTAGACGGCTGCGTTGACCCTGGACTTAATGAAGCACAGTGGACCAACATGAGCAGATGACATGGCTCCCCAAATCAACACAGACTGTGGAAACTTCACACTGGACTTCAAGCATCTTGCAGTGTGTGCCTCTCCATTCTTCCTCCATACTCTGGGTCCTTGGTTTCCAAATGAGATGCAAAAGTTGCTCTCATCAGAAAAGAGGACTTTGGACCACTGAGCAATAGACCAGGTCTGTTTTTCTTTAGCCCAGGTAAGACGCTTCTGACGTTGTTTGTTGTTCAGGAGCAGCTTGACAAGAGGAATACGACAGGATCCGTCTGTGTGAGGTGGCTCTTGATGCACTGACTCCAGCCTCAGTCCACTCCTTGTGAGAGTACCCAACACTTTTGAATGGCCTTTTCCTGACAATCCTCTCCAGGCTGTGGTCATCCCTGCTGCTTGTGCACCTTTTTCTTCCACACTTTTCCCTTCCACATAACTTTCTATTAATGTGCTTTGATACAGCACTTTGGGAACATCCCACTTCTTTTGCAATTACCTTTTGAGGCTTTCCCTCCTTATGGAGGGTGTCAATGATGGTTTTCTGTACAACTGTCAGGTCAGCAGTCTTTCCCATGATTGTGATTCCTACTGAACCAGACCAAGAGACCATTTAAAGGCTCAGGAACCCTTTACAGGTGTTATGGCTTGATTAGCTGATTAGAGTGGGCTACTTTGAGCCGAGAATATTGCACCTTTTCACAATATTCTAATTTTCTGAGATTGTGGATTTGGGGTTTTCATGAGCTGTAAGCCATAATCATCACAATTATGACAAATCAATGCTTGAACTATCTTGCTTTGCATGTAATGAGTCTATCTCATTTATTAGCTTCACCTTTTAAGTTGCATTACTGAAATAAATGAACTTTTGCACGATATTCAAATTTTTTCGAGTTTCACCTGTATTTCTGGAGGGCAGATTTATATTGGTTGAAGTCTTTCTGAGACTTAGACTTACGCCACAGACGCTCAAGAGCGCGGCTATGTTTTTTGAGACCAAAATCTCTGAATAACCAAAAATGTGTCCGAGTTTAGATTCGGACAGAAATTATTTGCACGTTTACCTGCTTTTAATCGGTAGTAATGAGTGTAATTATTAATAAACATCATTTATATTGTGCCAACAGTTTGTACAGCCTTTTGCAAAATAGAGAGAGAGTTTAGCTACAAAAGGCAAAAGGGGTAGGAGGGTCTTGTTTGTGAGTGCTTTCAATCTAAAAGGGAGGACAAATTATTTTAAAGGTAAAAAAAGGTGCAAATACCAAGAGCAATGAGGTTCCAGGTGATATGTAGATAACCACAGTATGGGCAGCTCCAACAACTCATCTGACCAGCAATGAGACATGAGCACAAAACAACAAATAAAGGAGCGCTCCCAACCCTGTGGAGTCACAAACCCAGGAACAGTGAAAATCTAAATTCACTTTAATGTTGGGTTATAAAGGCATGACATGTAGGAGTGCCCAAATTAATACATTACCAAACCAGTGGAGAGGAGAAACACATTCCCAGAAGCTGGAGGATGACAAATGATCCTGGACCCAATAGTAGGTTTCTCAGCCCAGGAGCCTCAGGAAAGTGGGAAGGGTGTGTGGATGGCAGCTGCTGGGATCACTAA